GGTGTTGGTCTTCAGAAAACAGCTCCACCTGATTGCATCAACTTTATTGAGCCCCCTTGAGCTGCTGAACATGCCCTGGGACGGTTTATCATCATATTGGCTGGTTAATCAGCTACAAGCAGGTGAAAAGGAAGATGTTGAACTTCATTTTGCCTGTCAATCACTCTCCTGAGTTTCCAGATACATGCATTTTGTAGAGCAGGTGTTGGTCTTCAGAAAACAGCTCCACCTGATTGCATCAACTTTATTGAGCCCCCTTGAGCTGCTGAACATGTCCTGGGAGGGGATATCATCATATTGGCTAGTAAATCACCTATCAGAAATTTTGAGCTACAAGCAGGTGAAAAGAGAGGTGTTGAAATTTTTTTTGCCCTGTAAATCCCTTTCCAGAGTTTCCAGACRCGTGCATGTTGTAGAGCAGGTGTTGGACTTCAGGAAACAGCTCCACCTGACTGCATCACTTTGTATGAGCCCCTTGAACTGCTGAACATGCCCTGGGTGGGATTATCATCATATTGGCTGGTTAATCAGCTACAAGCAGGTGAAAAGGAAGGTGTTGAACTTCATTTTGCCTGTAAATCACTCTCCTGTGTTTCCAGATTTGGTTAGGGTTAGGGTTAGGGTAATAGGATGAAAACCCCAAAATGCGAATGTACTTAGCTTCTAGTGAAAAAACTAAAAGTGGGAGGGGCCTGAAACTTGGCTCAGAGAACCCCCCGAGGGGCCCCACATGTGTGCCAAGTTTGGTCCATGTGGCACCTTCCCTTCACATAGCTGTCATTGACTCCCATTATAAGAAAAAAGACATACTTAGCTTATAGCTCAAAAACTAAAAGGTACTTAAGGACTAAGCTTGGTGTGTGTACACCCTTTAGTGGGATACACCTTGTGACCAAGTTTGGTGGACCTAGGCCACGCCCTTCTTGGGGCTGCCWTAGACTCCTATGTATTTTGTAAGTCCAGATAGCAATGTCCTATGGATCTGGGAGTTGGTTCTTTGGAYGCAGTGGCTCCCCCTGAGTTCAACGACACCTTACATGCCAAAGTCCAATAGCAATGCAGAATTATGAAAGTGGGCGGAGCTTATTGTGGGAGTGTCCATTTGACTCTGGGCTTGTCCAGGGGGCGTGTCCACATGTTTTGGGGTGTAGTTATGATTAAAAATGTCTGTGGGTGGGGTTAAATATTATATATATTTAAAGCATTGTGGGCGTGGCTTAAAATGAGTGGGCGGTACCAACATTCGGGGGCGTGTCCAGGGGGCGTGGCCTACAAGGCTATGTACTTGGTTTCATTTAATCATTCCTGTGGGCGGGGCAAATGTGCAAAAAGTTTCAAAAGTTTAAACTGTTGTGGGCGTGGCCTAAAATGAGTGGGCATTACCAAAATTGGGAGGCATGTCCAGGGGGGCGTGGCCTACAAGGCTATATACTTGGTTTCATTTAGTCATTCCTGTGGGCGGGGCAAATGGGCAAAAAGTTTCAAAATTTAAACTGTTGTGGGCGTGGCCTAAAGTTAGTGGGCGTTACCAAAATTCGGGGACTTGTCCAGGGGGGCGTGGCCTACAAGTATTTGTACTTGGTTTCATTTAATCATTCCTGTGGTCGGGGCAAATGTGCAAAAAGTGTCAAATTTTTTTAACTGTTGTGGGCGTGGCCTAAAGTGAGTGGGCGTTACCAAAATTGGGAGGCATGTCCAGGGGGGCGTGCCCTAMAAGACTATGTAATTGATTTGTTTCCATTATGTCTGTGGGCGGGGCAATAGGAAAAAGCCAGTTTTTTGTATTTATTTAGAAAACTAAAGCTCTTACCATGTTTTTTTTCCCACCACACTGTATAAGGAGCCCTGTTGAGTGCATTGGCTCATTTGGTTTTTGGCTGTTGGTGAGTTAGCATCCCTCTCATGCAAAGTAGTTGTTTTCTTTGTTATTTTTCATTACTCACATGGTCTGCATATACTGTATTCAGAACACTATAAAAGGAGTAGAGAAGCCATTTAGTGTTCACTTGCTTTTGGTAGTCAACCAATAAAGTTCGTTCCTTCAAAATGGACGTTGAAAGTGATGTTTCTGAGGTGGGACTCTTGAACTCAAACACTGTCAATGAGGCAATGTCACAGTTTGATGATGTTGCCCAGTTTTTGCAGGCAGACATAAATATGCCATTGCATTCCACTACAGTGAGCGATCCTAAATCCACACTGCAG